AAGCTTAGTAAGTGGGCAGATACAAACTTGGTGACGTTCAATACCAAAAAATGCAAGGTACTCCACCTTGGGGAAAAAAACCCGCAGCATGCTTATAGGCTCAGCATTGCTAAGCTCGCTAGCAGCACAGCTGAAAGAGATTTGGGGGATCATGACTGACCACAAGATGAACATGAGCCACCAATGTGATGTCGCAGCTGGTAAAGCAAACAAAACTGTGGCTTGCATCCATAGATGCTTTTTTTGCCAACACCCAGATGTCATCCTCCCGCTGTACTCGGCCATGGTGTACTCGGCCTTGGTGAGGCCACAGCTGGAGTACTACATCCAATTCTGGGCCCCACAATTCAAGAAGCATGTAGAGAAGCTTGAGAGAGTCCAGAGGAGAGCCACACACATGATCAGAGGGAAAAAGAATAGGCCTTATGAAGAGAGGCTGAGAGCCACGGGACTCTTCAGCTTGGAAAAGTGCAGACTCAGGGGGGACCTGGTGGCTACCTATAAGAACATAAGGGGTGTGCATCAGGATCTGGGGGAACATTTGTTCACCAGAGCACCCCACGGGATAACAAGGACCAATGGTCATAAGCTCTTCGTGACCGTTTTAGACTGGACATAAGGAAAAACTTCCTTACTGTCCGAGCCCCCAAGGCCTGGAATAGACTCCCTCCAGAAGTGGTGCAGGCACCTACTCTGGACTCATTCAAGAAACGTGTGGATGTTTATCTTGCTGGGACCCTATCTGGCGTCCTGCCCCTGGGGTAGGGGGCTGGACTTGATGATCTTCAAGGTCCCTTCCAGTCCTAACGTCTATGAATCTATGAATCTAATGTCTATTTCATACACATCGTATTAAAAACACAGCAAAATAGGCACAAAAAATTATCCAAGGCTGGCATTTCTTTAGTTCTATAGTCATTTGGATTCAATGCACCTCTCTCTCAGCATCATAAAACCATGAAGCCTTCTTGAGCCTCCTGGCAGGGCCTCTAATGATTTTCTGAAGGTTATTTTCACCCCTGAGTTCATAGTGTCAGCTAAAAAGAGTCTGTGAGGCTGTGAGAGGAGCTACATGACTGGGAGCAGTGAATAGACAGCAGAGTTGCAAGAAAGAAGCTGGCTTGGCTAGTGGAAGATCAAGACCATTTAAAGAAGGAGAGAGGGGTGCTAACACCTATGAAATGAATTCGTACAATTTACACTTATCCCACAGTCCCTCTCTGAGAATAAGCCCTCAGCTCCCAGACAAACCAAAGCACCCTTAAACTTTCCCCAGGTTCCCTGCTGACATCCGGTCACTGCACAGACAGGAAGGGATTATGACATCCTTTTTTCAGTCTCTAGAGAAGTTGCATCCGGCTGCTTTTTCTTCCTCACAAACAGTAAACTTCAGCCTCTGGCTTTCCCCACAAGGCTGTGATCTCACATCTCCCTCCCCGCCCATCCTGCCCAGGTGAACTTTTACTCCAAATCCTCAGATTGAGGAACATGCCGGTGGTTGAGAGAGAGACTGCTCAAGAAACAGGAGTTTCCACTTCACTTATGCACATTTATTCAGCAGACAGCATACACTCCCCTATCTAGGAAAGCACTAATTACCTTGCAAGCCAGTCTTGCTCCCTGTCCTGTTTATTAAGTAGCCCAAGGTCTCACTAGGATGCTCAGGGGCATAATCTAGATGTCCAGCAGTCTCAGTGTCTAGCAGCCCTTTGTTCCCAATCTGTTTGATGCCTTTCATAGATTCATAGATGTTAAGGGCTGGAAGAGACCTTATAAGATCATCCGGTCCAGCCCCCCTGCACTTGGGCAGGAAAGACTGCTGGGGTCAGATGACCCCAACAAGGTAGGCATCAAGATGCTTTTTGAAGATCACCAGGGTGGGGTGAATGTACCACCGCTGTGGGGAGCCTGTTCCAGACCCTTGGCACTCGACTTGTAAAGTTTTTCCTTATGTCCAGTCTGAAGCGATCTTCAATCAGCTTGTGCCCATTGTTTCTTGTCTTCCCCTGGGGGGCCTTGGTGAACAGAAGCTCCCGCAGGCCTTGTTGTATGACCCTGATATACTTATAGGTTGCCACCAAGTCCCCTCTAAGTCTTCTTGTCTCCAGGCTGAACAGTCCCAAGTCTTTCAGCCTCTCCTCATATGACCTGGCCTCTAGGCCTCTAATCATGTGCGTGGTCCAGCCCCTGGCTTCTTTACTTTTCATTCCATCCAGGAAAAGCACACACCGACTGCTGAAACTTCCTTAGCCTGACGAAGGGGTTTTGAACCCGAAAGCTTGCTTAATAACTGTTTTCCAACTATTTAAGTTGGTCTAATAAAAGATATCAGATTCACCCAAAGAACCTTGTCTGGCTCTCCTTTGGACTCTCTTGAGCTTCTCCACACCTTTCCTGAAGCGCGGCACCCAGAACTGGACACAAGACTCCAGCTGCAGTCTCACCAAGGCTGAGTAGTGCAGGGGATGACATCCTTAGTCTTGCTCAAGTTGCAAGCCAGTGTTTGTTTCACACTGCCAGCTACGGCATCACATTGGTGACTCCTCCATGGTCTCGTTTCTAGGGCTTCCCAGCTGGGCATCATGACCCCATGGGGGCTGTGACTTAAGGCCTGGCTTTTGTTCCTTACATGTTAATTATTTCCTCCATGACTACAGCTCTGGCTGCCAGCTGTTTCTAGGGTATCAGCATCACTGAGTACTCAGGATGGGACATCTTTCTGAAACCCGAGACACTTCCACACCCCTAGCTTGGCAGGCTTTTCTGATCACGCTTTCTCTCTTTCTAAACTTTGTCTCAGTGTTCTCGACTAAGCTTTTACTTGGACCAAACTTGCAGCTGCTTTGAATGAGCTAGCGGCTTATAAATGAGCTCAGTGGCTGGGAAGGTCCTGGCAGGAGTGGACAGGGGCAACTTACACAATGGTTTCAGGGGTGTCCAGATTCCAGGCCTTCAGAGTGAAGGCAAGAGCCCCAGCGCGGGGGGCTACATTTTAGCAAGCAGACATGTCCTCTTTTGCCACTTCTTGAGCTTGTCAAGCACTCACCAGGATCCCAATAGCCTTTGCCACAATTGTGTGGCTCTGTGCGGGGGGATCATTGGGGATTATTCTGGCCTTGCTGTGGTATTTCCCCCCCCGACGCAAAGCTGCCCTGTATGCAAACAAGCGCAACTTTCCAGACACACCCGGGTTTGTTGGGAACCAGCTGAAGGAAGCAATTGTGGCTTCCCCGCCTTCTGAATAACCCTGGGGCAGCGGATGGGAGTGGAGCCTGCTTGTGCAGGGTGGGAAGCTACCAGGGCTCTCCCACTTCCTTGTCAGTTTCCTCCACCTCCGCGATGAAATCAACAATTTATTCCTCCTGCCCCTCTGCTCTCTAGCTTCCTCCCTGGTCTCGTTTCTAGTGCTTCCCAGCTGGGAATCATAACCCCATGGGGACTGTGACTTAAGGCATGGCTTTGGCTCAGCCTCTGGACCTTTCTCAATGCACAAGGTGACTTCCCACTTCTGGAGATCACAGGAGGAAAGGGATCTGGGGTCATCTCAGGGCAGAGGGATCATCTGAGGTATCAAAGCTGTGTGAACAAGGATCAGCAGCATGCCAGAAGGGCTGCTTGAGGGGGGATCCCAGATCCCCTGCTTTCCCCAGATCCCTGTAGGATCAGCTGGATTGCAGCAGGGCAGGGATTCAGGGGCAAGACGCTGAGATCAGGAAGCCCTGGGCATCTCCTGACCTTAGCCAGACCATCCCTGCTGCTGTCCTGATCCACACCCTCTCCCTCGTGTCTGTTGTGACCTCAGGGGACAAGTCCAAATTGCTCACATGCTGATGGCAGCAAGGCCATGGCATTGTGGGCACTGGAGTGGGCTGCAGGAGCACGGGCCAAGGCCACAGGTCGGAGTGGCTAGAGCCCAGCCATGAGGCAGCAGGGCACGGTGGGGTGGATGAGATCTAGCATGTGTGATCTGCCCGGTCAATGGATCTTCAGGCTGCAGCCAGCTCTTTGGTGTCAATGATCTCCTCATGCCCGGCCCCACCACTGAGGGCCCTGTCACTTCTGTCACATCCCTTTGCCTGCACACAGTGAGTTCCCATCCCTCTCAGGAGCCCCATCACTGCCAGTTCTCTCCCAGCGTTTCTACTCTGTACCTGCCCAGGCTTGACGGGTGTCTCCTGGAAGTGCCTTATGCAACACAATTAGCACATTTCCAGCACTCATTATCTCCTTCTCACCCTGGGGTGGTGGGGGCTGGGGGTGTCTAGTGGCAGGATCCATGTCTATATGTGAACTTGAGGCTCAAGGGATGCACCTGGCTAGGGGAATTTCAAGCAGAGGGGATGGGTGAGCCACTGTCGGACTCCTCCCAGCAGCCTGGGTCCAGCTAGACGCTCCCCACCCCCAGCCCGCAGGGTCTCCAGATTGGGGCTATTTGATGGTACCTTCACACTCAGGACCAAAGGGGGTCACATGCCTGTGGTTGGCATCAGAGGCTGTGTCCTCTCACCAGCCACAGAGGGGGATAGACACCCACCAGGGAATCTACTCTGGGGAAGAAGCTGGGGTGCCTGTCACATAAGGAATGTCTCTTCAAGAAGGGGGCTGTGGGGGTTAGCCAGGCTCAGACAGTCCTATCCACCCCCGGCACAGGTGAAGGCTGTGGGTGCAAAGTATTCTGGGACGGCACTGCCACACTGCGAGTGTGTAACCTCAGCCAGTTTGCAAGGGGCCAGGACCAGGGATGTTTCCGCACTTGTTAGGTCCTGATCCCAAGTGATTTAGGCACTCAGCAAACTGCACCTTGCCCATCTTTTGCCCCCACTCCACACTCTTTTTCCTTCCCCCAAATCCCTTCCCAAGCCATAACTTTCACGTAACTCGAATGACGTGCGCACCATTGTGAAAGGTCCAAATTCCCCTCCCCCCCCAACCAGTCTCCAGGCTATAAATAACACCTCAAGGCTCCAGAATAATCAGTCAGATCTTCCGGCAGCTGCTCCCAGAAACCTCCCAGAAGCAGGTAACATCCTTTCTCCGTGCCTCCCAGGCTGGGACCTTTGGGGAGGTGGGTTGGGATTGCAATGATTCCCCTCTGGGAGGCTTGGCTGACACGAGAAATACCAGCTTCCTTTCTCTGCACCCAGGCAGAATTATTAGAGCTACAAAGGCAGCCAAGGGTGGCAGTAGCAGCTTTGCTCAGCAGAGGAGAAATTATCAGGAAGCGAGGCAGACTGGCAGCTCTGGCTGAGGTCCACCTACTCCCTTGGATGTTAGGAACTGGCTGGTGGGGACCATAGAGAAAGGAGTATGGTTTTTTAGAAGCAAAGGAGAATGGGCATGGCTGAGAGAGGCAACGGTGGGTGGGAGAGATCAACCCAATGGAGAGCCATCAGACATCCCCCAGAGAGCAGGATAGGTATCCTGAGTTTCTATGGAGCCCATACCAGTGCTGGGCGGTCCCAGGAGGTCCCGGGGTCTACCACAGACTCACACATCCTTATGGACTTATGGCCAGCCTGGTATCCATCCATCCTGTCACACTGGGCTCTGTCATTGATAGGGGCATTCAAGGAATGTAGGCAGACCCAAAGCTTTCTATTGTGGAGCATCAGGCAACCTCTGCAAACCCAGGGTCTGCCTCAAGCTCAGATGAGGATCTATCTCCCAATTCCCAAGCTCCTGAACCAAGGGCGCATCTCATTAGAGGAGCCAGGGAAGGAACCCCAGATGTTGATGAGGAGATACAGCTAGCCCTTGATGCCATGGTGGGAATGGTAGTTGTAGCAGGCAACGTGGGGGGCCGGCAGAGAGCACTCCAGATCTGCAACCCTGGTTTATTTCCTCTTTCAGAAGCAGCAATGGCCACAGTGCCTGATCTCTACGCAGAGTTGGAGAGGTAACCACAGCTTCTTGCTCCCTTCCAGAACCAGAAAGTGGGGCGGGGGTGGTAAACAGATTACAGGGGTGATGGGTGCCAGCGTTGGGAACAGCTGTAGGCAGACAGGAAGCTTCAGATCCCTAAGAGATAAGACATGAAGGAACAGCAGCTCTGCCTGTACCAGGCAGGCTTTGGTGATCTACCCAAGATCCCAGAGAAGACAGTGTGAAGTGAGGGGGGAGGAATGCCGAAAAAAAAAGGCAGTGTGTTAACCCAAATTGGACCCATGTGATTGTGGTGTGGGTGCCAGACACCCCACCCAGCTGTGAGTCACAGCCCCCCTGCCCCCATGCCTCAGTTTCCCTAATATGGGCAGTATTGTGATCCAGCCAGACTATGCCCGTCCTGGATGAGCCCAAGGCTGGAAAACTCCAGGCAAGGCTTGCAATGGCTCCCCAGCTACCTGGCAAAAGAAGACAGAGGTTATCATATCTTCTTGCATACAACACAGCACAGAATATAAGACACTTTGTTCTTGAAAAGCAGAATGAAGGGGAAAAGCTCTTTCCGTGTAATAACTAACTATATAGCAACCTGGCCTCCCTGCTGACCTGAACCCGGTGGGTGGCATGCACTTCATGCCAGAAACTGCTTTTACCATATTTCTCACATATAACATACACTGAAATTTCCAGACATTGGTTTTGGGGGGACAAAAAGTGTGTGCTGTATGCCAGGAAATATGGTATATCAGTTATTGGTTTCCATTAGCAGCTTGTATTTAATAGGACATTAAAAGGGATGGAAACTACTCAGATCAGCTCTTCCTAGAACTTGCACAACAAAAATGGGAAAAACCAGGTGGGTCTAAGATGCCTGTTGTTTTCCCTGAATTATTTTGGTCTCCATCCATAGCTATGGAGGAGATGGGACTGGTTAGGATGGTCTTGCCCAATCCAAGCCATTCTCCCAAGGGGTAAGGGTAAGGTTCAACCAATAGGGAGCAATGAATCAGAGCAAAGTGGGGCTGGAAGGGCAGGAATGGTAAAAGACAAGATGATTTCTGCCCCAGAAGCCAGGACGCCTTCAGTCTGGGGGCCAGGGCATCCGCATAGGGCACATATGTGACAGGAGACCCTCACACATGTATCTTATGTTGCATCAACCAGAACCTAGGCTTGAAGGACTCTCTTTATATCATTGCCCAGTGCCCCTCAGCCCCACAATCAGGCACTGATTCTGCTTTTTTTGTTTTCTTTCCATAGCTACAGTTACAAGACTGACTACCCCTGGGAAACAGAGGTAATACATCCTGCTTGCTTTTGTGCCAATTGTCTTTGGCCCTGACTTTCCAAAGGCTCATGCCAATTACTGTGCTGAATAATCCCCACACCCTTATATACCCCACCAGACCCAGCCATCTGGGGTCACGCAGAGTTAGGAAGGATGAATTGAGGATGAATTTGGTGGAGTCTTGCTTCTACTGAGTTCCCTGAAGGCAGCAGAAAGCAAGAAAATCCCTGTCTCTTGCTCCAAGCAAGCCCCATGCCCCAGAAGCCCTGTCTCTCTGCCCCATCCTGGCCTCACCTTCCCAGCTTCCTGCCTCAAACAGCTTTTCTAACTGTCTGCAGGTGCTTTTATTCCAGTATAATCAAGCCAGAAATGAGCCTAAGCCAGGTCTGAGGCTCAGGCTGTGTGAGGACCAGATAAAGTTGAACATCAACAAGGCATAGAGAACAGCACAGAGAGGTCTCAGGCTGCTTCCTAGCTATTAATGCCCTCTGCTTTGCCACTCCACAGGGCCTCTTCTACAACCTCGATCCTCTTCCCAGCCTCAAGAGAGGCCCCAAATGCAAGTGCAAGGTCCCAGAAGAGTGTGAGGAAAAGAGAAGTACAAACAGCGAGCTGCTGACCGTTTTCAACAACTGGGTTGAAGGTACGAACCCTCAGTATCTTCTTTTCTAGAGGCAGGTGGCTTGAAATCTGAGCATGTCTAGACCTTGGGGAATCTCACTCTTTGCATCATTAGGGGCATGTTGCCTGGGGCAGATCCGGGAGGGCAATGGTATAGTCACACCCCGCTTTGATTAGGCCTATGTGCAATTCTGGGCTCCACAGTTTAAAAAGGACATGGAGAAGTTAGAAAGGGTCCCGAGGCAGCAACAAAGATGATCAAGGTTTGGAAGGCAAGTCATATGAGAGGCTGAAAGAGCTAGCCATGTTCAGCTTGTGGAAAAGGCACTTAAGAGAGAACATAATAGCAGTCTTCAAATACTTGAAGGGCTGTCGTAAAGAGGGAAAGCACTTTTTCTCTCTTGTGCTACAGAGAGGAGGACATAGAGCAATGGCCTGAAGTTGCAGCAAAGCAAGTTTAGGTTGGATCTCAGGAAACACTTCTTCCCTGGTAGAGCAGGGTGGGTGTGGAGTAGGCATCCTGGGGAGTTGCGGACTCTCCATCACTGGAGGTGTTCAAGGAGAGGTTGGATGGGCACTGGGATGATCCAGGTTTAGCTATGCCTGTGTTCTATTAACTATGGGGATTTTTCAGGCTTTTGGCTTTGGCAGGGTTGACCCCTTCCCTCCTTTCTACTACACTTCAGGGTTTCTTAAGCCTTGTTCAAGACGCATTGAGTGTTGGCTGCAGCCCAGACTAGGAATAGTGGCTGGGCTATGCCAGTGTTCCTGCTGGGACCAAACCCAGAGGTTCCTGGCTAAAGGATCTTGCCCCTCTGCTCAGGCTCAGGCTCAGACTGATGCTTCATTTGGGATCAGGAAGGAATTTTACCCCATGGTCAGATTGGTACAGACTGGAGAGGTTTGCCTTTCTCTGTAGCAGAGGCATGACCTCTACCTGGGATCTCTTGAGCATCTATTAAAAACCTTTTATAGAAGCAGGACATTGGCAGCTGTGGTTCCCCTGCTTTCCTGTGGTAGGGTCAGATTTTAGGTGTGTGCTGTGTCAAGGCTGACGGCAGTCTTATGTAGCATTTAGATGATGGATGTGCCTGGGATGGTTTGGACGCAGCTGATCCTGTGTCAGGCAGGGGGCTTGACTAGATGACCTCTGGGGTTTCCTCCCAGCCCCACTTCTCTATGACTCTATGATCTGGGGGGATCCAGTTCTCTCTAGATCCATGCTCTGCTCCATGTCTGATGAACCTTCCCTGTCCTGTGCTTACAGATGCTGTCTCCTTCACCAACTCCGCCATCACTTTCAGAGGTCCTTCAACCTACAGATACGCCTACACAAAGCAGCTCACCATCAGGGATGTAGATCACAAGGGTTTCACCTTGCAAAACATTCAGGGCCAGGCCCAGCTGATGGCTTCGCACCTTCAAGGTCCTAATACCAGGCAAGAAGGTAACGGAACAAGATCTGAGCCAACCATGAACAAAGCCAGGCTTGCTCTTCTCCAAAGCCAGCCAGGAAAAGGCAACGATGCCTCCTTCCCTTGCAATCCCATTGTCTGGGGGGATATGTGATGTACCTCCAGCCCACCAAACGTGTGGGAGGCAATATGATGTCATAGGGTGGAATTTCTTGGGCTGTTTCAAGAAAGTCTGCCTTGCTTAATGCACTGACGCCAGATTCCCTCTGCTTTTCTCTTCCCAGAGAAATTAAACCTGGATTACTACTTCTCCACGCAGGGCTCCTCCAATAGCCCTGTGGCCATACGTCTCACGAGCAAGAATCTCTGTCTGTGCTGTGCTGATGGCAGCCCTAAGCTGCAGCTGGAGGTGAGATCACCCTCTTGGGGCCCCTGCCTGCCCATTCCCACCTATGGCTATCCTGCCAATAGAATGTGAGGCTCAGCCACCCAGATCAGGGGTCCCTTTGGTTTTAGCTGCTGTCATAATTCCCTTCCCTGAAGATCTCACAGCTCCTATGCATAAATTGCGGGTCAGCCACACATAGTGGCTAGTCCTGGGTTATGCATGGGCTCAAGCCGGGGGCTTTCAAGCGCCAGCTCTTTGCTGGGTCTATTAGAACAGTGATCAAGCCCTAAAATGCTTATGCTTCTGGGAATTCCTGGGTGTCTGCCATTGACCGAGACCAGTGTGATGTATATCCAGTGCCACCAATGGCATAAGAGTCACTGTGATGTCATAGGGTAGGGTTTCTCCTCCCAGTTCAGAGCAGGTGAGGTCACAACGATCAGTGACATCTGCTTTGCTTCAAAGGCGACCGTGCCACAGAACCTCAGTGTTTCTTAAATGATCCTGACAATGGGCTCAGAGGCTTAACTCTCTGCCCACATATTCTGGGAAGAATCCCATTCAAGTTATATTATGTATCCACAGGGCTTACAGATCAAGGGAAGGGATTTTCCCCATCTACTCAGCCTCACATAGCTTCAGCTCTGGGCCTTGCACTTCAAGAAGGACGTATGTGGATTGAAAAGAGGCCAGCACAGGGAAACAAAAAGGAACAGGAGCCTGAGTGATGAGGACAGGCTAGAAGAGCCAGGGTGACTGAATCTGGAGAAGAGAAGCCTGAGTGGGGATTAGATGCCAACCTGAAAGGCGATGATAGAGAGGATGTAGATGGGCTTTTCTTCATGGACACAGGGGACAGGGCTAGGAGCAAACAGCCTCAAGCTGCAGCAGAGGAAACTGAGGCTGGAAGTGAAGTAGAACTTCCTAGAAGGGGGATCCAGCATTGAACAGGCTGCCCAGAGAAGGAGTCTCCATCATGGGAAGTTTCTGAGGGCAGCTTGGACAGACACTCAGTGGGGGCGGTTTACTCCTGCCTTGGAACTGGACTAGAAGTTACCTCCTGAGGTCCCTTCTAGCCCAACCTTCCCATGATCTGATGCTCATCCCCTTTCCAACAGCATCTCACTGGCTTCTGCTTTCCCCCAGGAGGTGTCAGGGCCCATGCAGGAAATCAAAACTGAGGCTCAGAAGCGATTCTTGTTCTTCAAGACTGATGCCGGCAACACGTTCAGTTTCGAGCTGGCTGCTCACCCCGGCTGGTTCATCTCCACCTCCAAGACTGACAGACAGCCCATTACATCAGTCAATCAAACTGGACAGGTGGCCATCACCAATTTCTTCACATATGAGAGCTAATCTCCAATCATTTGTGGCTGATTCAGGCTAGTATGTACCATGTACAGACTCACGCGATTCCAACACGTCCATGTCATACATGTGGCTTTGGAATGACGCCATTGTAATTCTCTATGAACTTTGTTGTGCTATTTATTTTGTATTTATATTGTGGTAACTTGCTTTTGCTCAGGGTGCCTCTGGGGGCTTTTATTCTACCTGGAAAAGGACAAGAGAAGTTTCAAAAGCAAGTTCCTCTGAATAGCCTGATGGGCCGCATCCAGCCCCTGGGCCGCACTTTGCCCACCCCTGGCTTCAATTCTGATGACTGGCCTATGCCTTTCACTCCCCTTGAAATGGTCCCTCGCCATCTGCCTTCTGCCGCATGCTAATGGCTGTGATTCAGGCGGACCTGCTTCTGGGATCAGACTAAGAGGAACATAGTGACACCCCCAGCACAGCAAAAAGGGGGGGCAAGTGTCCAGAACTCCCCAACAGTCTCTCGAGAGCACCCATAAACTACAAACAAGAACTTTGGTCACTGACCCCAGGTGTGATTCTCAAATGCTTTACAGGCATCGTGTGAGATCAGGTCTCTAATCCGGTCCAAATCAACATGCTTTTCCCCCCTCCCAAATCAGTTTGTTTTTTTTTAAATTAAGCTCAGATCCATCAAAAAATCTCCCGGCTCTTAAATTTCCAGTTGAAACAAGGTTTTTCAGAGGCAGGCACTAAAGAAATAAGCCGTCCTGCTGGATCTTGCAAATGTCAATGCATTTTGTGTCCAAAATGTGGAGAACTTGAGGGTAAACTTGACTCCAAAACTGATAGGTGACTAGAATGAAACTAACTATTATAAGAGCAACTCCATTTAATATATATATATATTTATGCTGACCTGTTTAATACATATTTATATAACATCGATCTAACGAAGAATTATTTATATGAGGCTGATCTATTTAATATTTATTTATCTGATGCTGATCTATTTCAGACACATTTACATAACAATGTGATGAAGAATTTTTTTGTATGATGTTGATCTAGTTAATAAAGGTGCAGTTGGTTGAATAAATGTGCAATTTGTTGGGATAAGGATTTGGGATCGCAACAGAAACCCATGAGCATGGGTAGGACATCTGTTTCATTAGCACAGCAGTTCTTGGATTTCAATCTGGGAAGCAGGAGGGAAAAATATTTATGAAAAATATTTGCAAAAGCTTTTCTTTCTCTTCTCCCAGAGCCCTTGCTTCATTTGGAAACCACACCCCAGAGTTTAAGCAGCAGGGTTGAATATTTTGGGGGTGTCAGAACAATATATTTGGTTTGATTTTAGGCAAAACACCTCCCAATTTCTCTTCCCATTTTACCAAGAAAAAGAACAAGAGGAAGCTGGGCATGGGCCCATCTAGGATCTAGGGTACAGATGACACAGGGCATCAGCACTTATAACATGAAACCTCTTTTTCTCCAGGTAAAAAAGAAACCAGAAGCTTTCCTGCTATGCTAGAGGGCCTGGTGCTATGTTATTCCATTTAAGAGCAAAGCAGGCACCGATATAACGGCTGGCCAGCATGCTAATTTGCTAGGTCATCTCTTAAGTTTAAAAGAAGCAAACAAATTGGGCAAAAAAGCCCCAAAAACAGGCTGAATAGTCCTATATCATGTCATGAGTCCTGAAGTGAAATGTCTGTCTCTTCCTTTGGATTTGTAAAATCAATTGCAGTCTTCTTGAGCATCTAGACCATGCCTCCAATGCTTCACTGCCTGGGTATAAAGGCTTTTATAGTGAAGTGTATAAAAACCCAGCTGGATTTGGGGCTGGACGTCTCTGTGCTCCTTGCTCCACCTATTTCACAGATGTGGCAAACTGAGGTCCAGGGGGAGGGCTTGCCTCTGTGTCTATGTCACATGCAAGGTGGGTCCGGTGCGCTGGCCTGCAAGACTGCATGTGGGGGGAGGTGCCCATGTGCACGAACAGGGGCTTGGGCATATAAACAGGAGAGCACATGCAAGTGGGGGTGAACACGGGCACATGCACACGTGTGGACCTGCATCTGGGTGTAAACACAGGTGTACACGCCTGTCCATACAAGTGGGTGCGCCCATGGGCATGTACATACACGCGAGTGTAACCACAGGGGTGCACACGTATGTACAGATATTCACATGTGAAAATGGATGTATGCACACAAATATGCATGCATGTGGGTGTAACCATAGGGATGACACATGCTCAGGGTGTGAATTGGGATGTGTACACATACATGTGCGTGCATAACATGGGTGTGAACACGGGCGCACACGTATGTACAGGCATGCGGGTGTGACTGGGGACGTGCGCACAGAGCGGCCGCGAGCACACGCAGTGCCAGGCCAGTGCAGCGGCATTAACTACCCGCTAATTACCCCAATAACCCCGCTAATTGCACTCCCCAGCCCTTCCGGGACCAGGGCGTTGCCAGGACGCCCCCGCATCTGGCCCCGCCCATAACCCGCCCTAGCCAATCACCGCGCGCACCGCGTGGGAGGGGGGGCGACATGGGCCCAGCCCCGCGCGCCGGGGCGCCCTCGCTCATTGGCCGGTTTGAAGGAGGCGGTGGCCAATAGACGTGCGGGGCGGTTGGCGCAGCAGCGCGAAGGCTCCAGCCGGGGAGAGGCGCGGGATGGAGGCGCAGGGTGAGCGCGGACCGGGAGTGCTGCAGCGGACGGGCGGGGGCCTGGCGGTGAAGTGTTGGGGTCCGGGAGCTGGGCCCGTGACGGGGGCGGGGCCTGGGTGGAAAGTTGAGATATGGGGGCGGGGCCGGTGTTGAGGGGCGGGGCTTCGGTGGAATGTTGCGGGGTGGGGCCTGAGCGGTGGAATGTCGAGGGGCGGGGGGCGCACGCGTGCGTGCAGTCAGTGGGTGTGAGCAGGGTTGTGCGCTTGCACGCGGGTGTGCACAGGGAGCTGGCTCCACTCCAGCTCCCAGGCCCCTGGGAGACCAGCCATGGCGGCAGAGCTGTGCGGCCGTGCGCCCTCTGCTCGGCGCAGCCCTGAGGTACTTCAGTGTCCAACCAAGCAGCCTCGGCGCAGTGGATCTCGGCCCCTGCTTCAAGCCCCCCGCTCCGTCAGCTGCACGGGCCCTGCGAGGGTTTTGGAGCGGGTGCATCCCAGGGCTGGAAATGCACAGAGATCTCCTTGATCTCTGCGTGGGAGGGGGAAAGATCATTTCCACCCTAGGTTGGATTGCTTGTGCCTGTCTTCTAGCTGTCTGGAGGACTGGAGGCTGTTTTTAGGGGACTTCCAGGTATCAGACTCTTCTTGATGAGCAGATGCCACCTAGAGGGCACATGAGAAGGGACGGCCAAGTAGAAGAAGCCTTCCAGATAGCCCCACTGGCCCAAAGGCGAAGGTCTCCGCAGGCTGGTAGCTTCTGTAGCCATCTGGCTAGAGAATCCCTTCCAATCCTTTTCCAAGGTCTTGGAAGCCAGATTTGGCAGCAGCTCACCAAAAGGTGTCTCAGCCTGAAACACTCCCTCTGTTCCTGCCTGGAGAAAGCATTGGGTCCTCCTGTCCACCTTACCTGTAGCTCTCTGAGGGAGGTGTTTGAAGGGCTGGGCGCTGGGAAAGGAGCAGTTGCTTATTGACAGAGTATCAGCAGCCAGGAATAGAAAAAAATCTATGTAATATACCCTGTAGCAGCCAGCCCACTCCTAGTTTCACCCTAACCAGGACTGATCCTCTGAGACTCCAGTTGCCTTTTCATTTTTGTTGGCTGCTCTGCTTTATACCTTACAAGTCATCTTGTATCCTGTTGTCTTGCGTGATGTTATAGCCGTAATGGTCCAGACCTTATGGGAGAGGCAAGGATTTTGTAGAGCGATCTCTTATGCAGTTGGGATAAAGTCAGACACAGCTTCCAAAGAACATCTTGCATTCAAGAGCTTGTGTAAATTTATCCCGATGACTTTGTCCAATAAAAGACATCACCCTAAGATAGTCTCGCCTCTTGTAGTCTTACCGTCCAAGGTAAATGTGAGAGCACAAATTAATTCGTGGGAGGCAGCATCATTTTACCAGCAGCATCTTCGGTAGAGATGGGAGACCTCTTTGTCCCCAAATCAGCCACTCTCATTTGTACACGAGTATTGCCAAGGGCTGTGGGTCTTCAGGCTGCATGTGCTGCAATTCACTATGATCTCTTTGCAGAAGAGCGGCAAAGAAAGCTCCAGGAATACTTAGCTGCCAAAGGAAAGCTGAAATGTCCCTGTGCCAAGTGAGTCTGAATCTTGCGTCAGCTTCCGAATTCTTGGCATTGCTGCTTTCTCTGTGCTGGATTCAAGTGAGGCATGCTGATGTGAAGGCCAGCCAAAGGCAGGGGAGACGTAATCCACTCTCTTCTCAGGGCAGAATGTGGACTGGGGTTTGGTGGGTTGCACATAACGTCATGGAGACGGGCAGATGTATGGAGCTGCTGTATCTGGAGAGACTGGTCCCCCGATCCCCCCAGGCTGGACCCCACAGGACTATAAGTGGCTGTGAGCAGCCCAAGTGGTTGGGACCTTTGGGGGTCCCAATGAATCCAGCCCTCTTCTCTGGACAGGACCAGCTCTGTCTGAAGCCACCCAGGGCAGGGTCTATCTCAGCTTCTCTTAAAACAACACGAATAAAGGTGACCCATATGATCAGGGTTGTAGTGCCATTGCCAAGCCAAGAGAGACTAAACAAGGCCAAGGGGGTGGATAGAGCAAATAGGATAATCTTATTCACCAGGTCCCAGGAGTTAATGACCAACTGCATTTAAAAAAAACAAAAAAAACCCTCCTCTCCTTGCTTTTGAACCCAATAATGCAGTGTTTCCTGTTGAGATCCTTTGGGGGAGGGAGGGATGTTAGTGCCAGAGGGAGGTTATAGTCAGGATGGCCCAGAAATGAGACAAAGCTTCCTTAGGGTGACCTCTTTTATTGGCCTGACTGTGTAGCTGGGTACAGGTATGGGGAGGCCTGAGAAAGGAGCTTTCCAAGGCAAAACATCCTCTGACTTTATCTCAACACCATACATTTCCATTTGTCTTCCACAGGCCCTATTTAAAAGATTCAGCCAGCCAGCGGATTCTCCAGGAACCCCCACTTTGGAAACCGGGAGCAGTAAGTAGGGAAA